GCGCAACAACCCAGAAGACAGAAATCTTCATACTCATCGCCCTGATGATGGAGGCAGTATGACCTCTGAAACGTTGGTTAACATCGACCAGACTACACGGCGCAACAACCCAGAAGACAGAAATCTTCATACTCATCGCCCTGATGATGGAGGCAGTATGACCTCTGAAACGTTGGTTAACATCGACCAGACCACACGGCTCAAAAACGCAGAAGACGGAAATCTTCATACTCACCGCTGTGAGAACCTCAAGTCTTACACGTAATATTTTGCTTTCGAATTTTAATGTTCGTCACTGACACCAGAATAAATCTGAACCGGACACCTCTCTGAGCCAGCTAAATCCAATCAACGCCCTAGCACATAATTACTCAGATCCAACTTAACATTGTTCTTACACGTAAACATCGTCACATTCCTTTGCTTCATAAATTTTCAGAAAGAAACTGAGTACATGCTAGTATCCAGTCAGCAGACAGGGGCAAAATCACATAGTTCCGCAAACAACGAAGGTTCTTATCGAAATACGATGGTGGGAGGAAGCATGTGAGCTGAATAAGCGATAAAAATAAGTTAATTGTTACTGAAGGTAGCAATGTAGTAATGAAATCTATCTTAAAATTAAATATAATAAACAAGTTCTGAATTTATAAGTTGTTATTAAGCGGTAATATCCGTCGGCACATTCTAAGCATCTAACACAACGTTACGAAACGTTTCTGAAAGCACCCATGACGTCAGTTACAGTCGCCATCGAAGTGCATGAACATTCATTCGGCACAGACAGGTCGCCAGGTTAGGAGACGGAACGATTAACAGGTAAGAGAACGGAGTTTGGACACTACTTATAATTTATATTCCAGGCTTCTTGATTCCACGCTGTGTTTAGCCAAATATAAAGAAAATCCTTATATTAGATCACAAAGTTAACTCTTTTAAACAATAATTTAAAGTAAATATCAGACATTCTCCGAAGGAGAATTTTGAGTTGAAATGTAAAAAAAATTGTCCATACAAAAATGTTGAAGTGTTTAACGAATTCAAGGACATTCGCTGTGTTTAACTGTCCCTTCCATCTGCTTCATTTCTCTGTAGTCCATTACAACTTTTTGCTGGAATTTTTTCGACGGTACGGTAACATTTTTTTTTTCTGATTTGTTATAGTAACAATCTTTCTCAGATAAATATCGGGAAACGCAATAAAAAGTAAAGTTTGTCCCGCTATGCGTCATGTAGGCGCTTGGGGGTGAGAGGAGGTATAGAGACCAAAATAACATGAACAGACAGTACTAAATACCTATTTTGTGTATGCAATTGTATGTTATGTTATTGTTGCCGCGTTAAACAGTTTCCATATATTACAGGCTTATTCGAGGGTCTCAGGGAAATTCCCGACAAATCAACATCTCCGTTTAATTCAAGGTCACTTGTAAACTGGCATTTTCAGGAGTAAAATACTACGTATAAGCACAAACATGTTTTTTTTTTCTCAGAGCACATAACCCGCCCCCCCCTCCCGTGAGAAGAGCTGGTACGCAATAGCATCATCATCATCATTCCAGCAGCCCTCTTGACGTTAGCAATGGCCGGGAGGTCCTTCACTCCTCCATCTGATGACGATAACAATAACAATGGCGATCAGATAGTACCGTCTGATGAAGACCTATCTGACGAAGAATCATCATCGCACAAGACTGCTGTCAAGGAAGACAAATTTGTGCCGGTGGGTAAAACGTTCTTACCAAAACCTCTGCCTTCGGAGACCAAACAGATGGTGCCTAAAATTATAACGGAGGTCAAAGTAGTGGAGGAGGATAAGAATAAAAATGAAACTGTAAGTCACGTGACAAGGGAAGCAACGTTCCACTATTTGAAGCTTGAATTATTTTACACACTTCAATTGTTTTCGCGTAGTATGCTACCATGATCCACTACGTTAGTCAAATTGAACCATATGGCAATAGTGTCTATTATAGTGTTAATAGTTGTTGGTTTGTTTACTCTATATCTACTCCTTCGTACTTGGTATAGGAAAAGTAGTGTGATCAAATATCGATAATCTGAGAAAATACGTTTGGAAAAACCATGACATGTCTACTTAAAAGTGAGTGTGATAAACCGAGCGCAGACCATTCAAATTTTTAACTCACTGCGTGTTTGAATAACTTGAAGATCACCGTTTAGAATAAAGTATCGGAATTAATTATTCATATAACCAATTTTAAATATTTCGAAATTTCTATATAGCATGCCCAGTCAACCCGAATGATTCACAGTGATGCAGATATTTTAAAAATCAAATCTTACTCTCATCCGGCCACATCAATGCACTAGAGCAGGCTCAGAATGTGACGACTGTGTTATGGCTTAACTCGACAACAGCCTACATGCTCTGCGCTATACAGCATCTTCGACTTGTTACAATTTAGGCGTCCACCATCTGTTCGAAGTTGTAGGTTTCTGGTGTTGGTGCGTTGAAATATGTAGAACTTCTCTTTTGGGATTAAAACTACAACGTTTCGGAAGCTAAATTTTACTCCCATCTTCAGGTTAGAAAGGGGGAAAAGAACAGAAGGCCTATCTGATGGGGCCGCTGTTCAAGCTAGCCTCAAAACTCCGGAGTCCGTAAGAAAATATTACGAGTTCTGAGGTTCTTAACGCGCTGAAGAGGTCCATGTTGGACTTGCGGGTAATGACGTCATGCGGTCTTGTAGGCAGACTCAAAACGTTTCAAGGGAACATGCTACCTCCATCTGAAGAGACAAATCACGTTCGGTGAAGTAGCAAAGACACGATTTTAAGTTAATAGATGTATCTAAGTTTATTTGACGATATATTTCCTTTTTCCTGTTTCCTGACATGCTATGGGGTAGCAAATAAGCAGTTTATAAGATAAAAAGTTAATAAGATAATAATGTAAATAAATATGCTGAAATGATTTGTAAGAGTGTTAGCAGGGGGGGAGGGGCAGGGAACGTGCCCTGTCCAGCGCTGGGTTTTGCTACTGATCGTATCGAAGTTTGTTTCATTGAATGTATATGAGAGTGTGGGTTTAAGAATACGGCTAACACAGCTCGTAAAAGTAATCTGAACAGATGATTGAGAAATGCTTGAGGTTAAATTTGAAGCCATTACTTTTTATCCTCAGGGAAGAGAGTCTGGTGTGAGGAAAAGGGATATAAGAGGAGTCCTCGTGGAACCGAAGGGCGCGGAAGAGTCCACTGACAGCCTCACACTTCTATCTCTTCTGACACGTAGAAATCCCTATCCGTTCGAGGAGTGCGAAGAGGAGACGATAGTAGCTGAAGAAGAGGAAGAAGAAGGAGAATGGGAGGAAGTGGATTTGTTTTCTGAAATCGCATGCCCCTTTCTCAAGATAGAACACGACAGATGCTTCTGGGGTGGTCGAATTTTAAGACTGAAGAATCACATGGTACTGACACATTTCAATGTTCTAAGGCTGTATTCTACTTTTACGTGCGCGGCTACTGACACCACAGCGTCGCTACTAGTTGTCGATTCAGAGGTGTTTCTCTATTACAAGTTCATTACAGAATACGGGCATTGGTACGTAGTTGTACAGCAAGTTGGTACCACGAACAAGAAGTTTAGGTACAGAATCAAGCTTCACTCAGAAGACGAGACAATCCCAGACCGCATTTACATATTTCGCGTGACTAGAATTACTGTGGACTTCGAAGTCCTTTTCGACGCTGAAAAGTGTTTCGTCAGCTCAGACGCTGAAATGGAACCTTTCGTAACGGACCTCGGAGCGGACATGAGAGTGACAATAAAACGAAATCGGTCTCATAACTAGATGAAACTAATACCTTGGGGCCCCCTCTGTCAGAACATCGGAGTATCTACTGAATGACAATCTTTGAATTCATTTTCTGAGGTAGCTACTCAGTTGTTTCGTCCCTTGCCGATTGGAAATGAAGGGCTACGATGTGTTGCCACAGTGAACTATATCATTACTGTCCAAAACATAACTTCTTCCTAATCATTTAATAGTTTTGTATTTAAACGTTTTTTAAGAATTTGTGAACTGTTTGTGTAAAAACTAACAAATGATTTTAATTCAGATAATAACCAGGGTTTGATGTTTAGTGTTATTTTACGTATCTGTTAATGTATTGATAGAGGAATCTTTTATATTAAATTATGTAACCGATAAATAAATGTATTAAATCTGTATGTAAACATTCACCTGATTGAAATAACATAAACATTTAAGATCGCAGTTTCACTTGCCATTGTCAATATAAACCATTAGTTGATCCTTTTCGGAACGTATAAACAGGTTTCAAAAGAACTACAGACAAAGTTATTCTTTGTGGTCTCTCGTTTGTGGGTGCGCCTTGGGTTAGGGCGTGTCCACATTCGGATATCGCTTCAAAAAAGGGAGTTTGGGTTCGCACCAAAAAATTCCTTGTCGGTATTATCTCTAACTTGTTCCAGATTGGCATACAATCTAGAACTTTCTGTTTCCCAGTTTTTCGGTTGATTCTTTGAAGACTTCTGTCTTCTGGGTTGTTGCGCTGTGTAGTCTGGTCAATGTTTAACAACGTTTCAGAAGTCATACTGCCTCCATCATCAGACTACACGGCGCAACAGCCCATAAGACAGAAATCTTCATACTCATCGCCCTGATGACGGAGGCAGTATGACCTCTGAAACGTTGGTAAACATCGACCAGACTACACAGCGCAAAAACCCAGAAGACAGAAATCTTCATACTCACCGCTGTGAAAACCTCAAATCATACGGTTGATTCTTTATTTAGCATCTGATTTTCCCTTTCTAATTTTGTAATTAAATGTTCACTTTCTGTTCTAATATTTTATTTCAATTCTCTCTTCAACTCTGAATTCTCTTTTCTGAGGTTGTCTTCTATATTGTGAATCCTTTCGGCAAACTACGAAAAACATTAGCGATAAGCTCTCGTATGGAATCTCGGTTTCCTTACAGTTATGTTCCGAAAATACGGTGGCTGTCCGAAGGTCACCTTATCCCCTATTACGAAGGTATTTACGACACTATTGTCCACTTCCATGACCGCGTCTACCGCAGAACTACCTGTCATGTCGCTAAAATTTCCAATTCAACGAATTCGGTACCTGAATCACTATGCTGAGCTATTTCAGATTCTAACTCGATGGTCCTACTTCGAATCTGTTTGCCTGTCATAGTGTTACAACGCATCCAACCCCTTGTAGGCTTTGATATCCTGGCTACGCGCCCTGTCTCCTGTCACGATGTCACGGGTTGACTCCCAGCGTCGTGAATCTGATTTCGGCACGCTGGAGGCTGTAGCTTGTTCCCTCCGCCCAAAGTCATCGACGTCGGCCTGTCTCCGTCGATCAGTCCTTGATCTCGGCTGCCAACAGTCCAGATTTCGGGCGCCAAAAACGCTGCAAACGTTCGCACCTCGGATCAGGTGCCATATTCGTCGTCTTTCATCTGCGGTGTCGATGACTTTGTTTCCGGGCTGTTATCTGGTTTTGCCTCAGGCACTAGGAAGATCTCAGGGTTTGTTG